TGGGTGGAGGCCCATGAGTACGAGGCACGATCGGCCTCGGGCTTCACCGACAACGGTCCCGATCAGGTACACCTTTCCCACACCTCGGCACTCATAAGGAAAAGTAAAATATATATAATATTATCCGTGCCTTATGGCCTGTTAAATGGAGGGCTGTCGGTTTTTTTGTTGCCTTCCTGCGTCAAGATCTCGACGACTGTTCTCTACTCGTGTCCTTCTTTGCTAAATGCTTCTAAATCATATCATATATCTTCTAAAAATAAAATCCCAGAATAGAAGTCAAACACAGATATTTACTTGCAAAAATACTTCCTGTGTCGTTAGTTTTGTATTTTGAATCAAAATATGAGATCAGTATTTTCTCGTCAGGTTTTAATAATATTTAAAATTTCATAACATTCCCGTGCAAAACGAAACACGGAAATCAAACTTTATGAATGTGTATGAACATAGGCAGGTACTGACCATTGAAAATGCTGGCCGAGTTGAGAAAAATTGTTTTTATAAAATTGTGTATATTCTACAATTTTTTTAAAGATCTGTTATGGAGCATAAATATGGAGTGAGAAAAGACAACATACAAAGAATTTTTAAAATGTTTTTCTATCAAAAGATTGTACAGATTCCCGAACTATTCCAGAACATTATTTCTTCATGTGGAAAAGAAGAAAGTTTTTCCATTTTGGCTCCCGCCCCAAAACAAAAAAATCTTGTAATAAAACTTGGTGTTTTAAAAATAGATAAACGTGAAATTACTGATAAAATTTACAAAAAACCGCCTATTTTGAAAAATGAAATGGAAAAGGAGATAGATGGATAGATAAATAGATAGATCTATAGATACATAGAGAGATAGAGATAGATTAGATAGACAGATATATATATATATATATATAGAGAGAGAGAGAGAGAGAGATAGAGAGAGAGTGACAGAACATTACAAACCTCTTAATATCATATTCTTTGAAATCAAATTATACATCAAAATGTACATATACTCTCAGAAAGCGAGAAAGAGTATTTGAGTGAATGAGTGTGAATAGAGTGAGGAAAGCGAAATAAAATAAGAAAGGGTGAGATAGAAATTGATGTAAATTAGAGGAGAAAGACAGAGAGAAAAGATCCTATGTCATCCTAAGTTATCTTCTTGGGCTCTACATTTCTTTACCGTCATTGTAAAAACTATTTATCTACTAAAATTACTCAGTTTTGTTAAGTACAACATTCTAGCTTCTGCATGTAAAAAGTGCATGAAAAATTATTTCAAAAATTTAATCACTGACAAAGATCCATAAAATATAAGTCTGAAGACCAAAAATATATTACAAGAAATTGTGGGAGAGGGGGAGATTGGTAGAGAAGCCCTGGTAGAAGTCTGTGACACCAATGACCTCACCCTGCCATGGTCCTAGGCATTCAAGCCATAAAGGCAATGAAAAAGTGGACATGTTGGCCAAAACAGTAGCCTGTATGAATTCTCTAGGGCCCGGACCCAGCTTTAGCCTCTATCATCGTGCCACAAAAGGAGACATCCGAAACCTGATCCTTATTGAGTCGAAAACCTGGTGGAACAACAGTCCAGGCATGAGGCACGCGAAAAGATTCATCCGTAAGACTTACAAAGGAATTGCGAGAGGACAACCGCAACAGAACCAGAATTCTGGTTGGACTTATGACAGAGCACTGCTGCCGAAGAAGGCACATGCGCGGGATAGGAGTGAAGACAGAAGAATCGCTGTGCAGATATCGCCAATAAAAAGAGAAGACCGCAGAATTTTAAGGCAGAAAAGCCTATGTAGGAGCAGATTCTTGCGGCTAGGAGAGGAAATGCTGGAAGCAGGATCCTATGGAGCCACAACCTTAAGCTGGCTAGTGAGTTATAAAAAAATAGAGAACAATAAATCTACTCTCGCAGACGGCTCCCGATCTCGAATCCAATAAATAGTAGTTTTATTACTAATTATATATATATATATATATATATAAGAAAAATTAATTAACAATATAAATATGGGTCGTCGGTGGTCGCAACTGTTTAGGCGTTGACACGGCGGTAATTACTGTAAGGTAAAGGTCCCGGGTTCGAATACGACATACTTACAAATGGGATTTTTTCAAAAACCCCGGCACCCCGACAGTTCATATAACCACTGCTGTTGCGAACACTCGTTACAAAAAAATATATGTATGTGCAATATATATAGTTTTATACACTATAAAACAAAAATTAATTAACAATATAAATCATATCTCTGTTAGGCTGTTAGTGTAACATATTTTAGACAGAAATCGTTTAAATATGAAAAAATGCCGTTTGTTTAATAATGAATTAGTTAAAATATGTTCATTATCCTCAGTGGTTACTTATTTAGGAAAATTATTTTAAAAATATATAAAAATTAATAATCAAATAAAATAAAAACTGCAAACTCCCCAATTGTTCGGAGAATAAATTGCATAAGCGGTGTCCGGGTGGATACCGCAGAGTCACGGTTTCATCATCTGCGGCCTTCTAATTGCTGAAAATAGAGATCCTCATCAGATAGTGATTCGGTTCCCTATTATTGAAAACAATGAAAATTATCGTTGATTTGTTCTATCGTCTGTCTCGTTTTATTTACTAAAAATGTTCGTTAAACGTTATAAAACTCTATTGACACGAAGATGATTAAGATTTTTATCATTTGATGCATTTTGAGGTTGGTGTGTTTAATATCGAAAACGTAATTTTTTTTTTAAATCTCATTTTCGTTTTGTTGTATTTGTTGAAAAAATACAAAAGCAGAAAAAGCAACTAACAATAAATACAAGTGGATAAAATGTAAATGACAAAATGTAATTAACAGTGAATAAACCAAAAATATTTAATAAGAATAGCAATAAGTTGCAAATAATGACTACAAGGAAATAACAGAAAGGAACTCTGCTTACATTGTTTTCCGTTGATAAGGAATTTCTTTGAACAATTAAATTAAACTAAATTTGAAAAACGCACGTCTCTTGGTCAAAATTTGTTTCAATCTCCGTTAATGCTGAGTAGAGAGTTAAATTGAGAAACACAATAAAATTTCCCTCTTCAACTACAACAACGACCCAACAACAACTGCACATTTGCACAAGAAATCAATATCCCCTTAAAAAAATGGTTTACCTGCTTAAATCAAAATCAGTCTTAATATTACTCATTAAATTATTAATCAATTAATTATTAATCATGAACCTAAGCAACCGATCTGATATAAAAATTTAGTATGCTAGAAAGATAAAGATCAAAGCATAATTAAATAAAATTAACTTATTATGAAAATGAGTACGTTAAACAATTTATTACAAATTTTCCCAACGGAATAAAGTTAAATAAAAGCTGCTTTGAAAACCAAAACAATCAAAAGAAGAAAATTCAAAATAAATAAGTTAAATGTTAGTCTGATACGTCAAAACTTGTATTAGAGTTTGTATTCTCTCTTAATAAAAATTCCTAGGATTTTTTTTGCATCTTGATTTTTGAGTTCAGATGATTTATTTTTTTTTTTTAATGTTTGACATTTCATCAAAAGTTGAAGATGCTAAGATACGCGGTCGAAAATTGTAAGTGCTGACTAATTACCATTTTAGACCATTTTGGCCATTTAAATTTCTTGTAAAATTGATCATCGGAACCTCATCAAATTTATTTTTCATTTTTGAAAATATTACATATATGCCAGGTTATCTGCTGGTTTTCCTAAATCTTGACTGGATCCATCTGTCATTTTTCAAATAAGGAAAATATTAATTTAAAGTTTATTCTAAGTCGATAAGATAGCATTGAACTCTCTTATTTGGATTCTCACAAGAATATCACTGAGATAAGCAGTCGAAATGATTTTGTTCCTCCTAATTCTGAAATGCCCTGCAAATTTAGTGTTAAAAAGTCCCTCTTGAAGTGAGGGGATGATAATTGTCAAATTTCCTCTTGGGGCTGTGTGATGAACAAGGAGTTATGCTGTTTCCGACCATTTTAGTTGATTGTTTGTTCCGTCAGACGCTTTTCGATGGATAAGAATGGCCAGAAGTCGAAACGCGTCTGATAGACTAAAACAGCTAGGATAGGCACATCAAAATGTTTTGAAACTACCAATCCTGGGTCAGGCCCGCCAACCTTCAGTGGCGAACCAATATAGCCACTAGCACACTACATACATATATAAAAATTGCTCCCTGAAGATGGCGCAAAGCGGAAACGCATTGGAGTAACATCAAACGAGAGTGAGATGGACCCAGAAACTGACACAGTGCCGGTTCGACAGAGATAAGTTTGGCCAGCTATGCCTTTTCTGTGATTTATTATTATTAAATTCTTGAATCCTTGTAAAGCACTTCCTATATATGTAACAAGAAGAAGTATTGTTTATTAATATATTGTTGTATAAAACTTTTTCTTTTTTATTGTTTTTTTACATCTGTAAAACAATTACAACTGTAAAAGTGCTATTAGAATAAAATTGACCTGAAAAACATGTGAGGATTAATTATCCAGTGATGAGCTTCCTTTAGAAGAAATAGGGAGGTTTATCTTAGATGGTGGTGGAACTGAGCTGACGGACCAAAGTATTGGGATATGTGGAAAGAGATCGATGGAACTTTTTGTAATAGCTTTTCGCTACTTCTGGAGCAAAGGGTTAAGGTTTCGGTGTAGGGTGAGATGTGATACATAGTAAGAAGGGTTAACACTTTTTTTTAGGAATTATGATTGGAATCTTTGAAAACGTTGGGAGTTGGAATGCTTTTAGAGCTGGCGTACCAAAGCATTGGGATGTGTGGAAAAAGATTGATGGAATTTTTTGTAATAGCTTTTCGCTATTTCTGGAGCAAAGGGTTAAGGTCTCGGTGTAGGGTGAGGTTTGATACATAGTAAGGAGGGTTTACAGTTTTACTCAGGACTTACGATTGTAATCTTTGAATACAAAGTTAGAATGCTTTGGGAGCATAAAACTTTTTTTTAATTCATTTAGTTATTTACAACTGCACTTTAAATATACCACAAGCAAAAATATTTTAAATTTTATTATGTTGTGTGAACCTGCATACAAAGTTGTATGCACGAACATACAAAAGGGCGTGAACGGCATCCATCCAGTGATGGGATACTCCAACGAGGATTGGCGGGTAACGTTGAGGATGACAATTCACGGATTAAGGGGTTTGAGTGATTGGGTAATTTAGACTAAAAATTTTGGTAACGAAATTAGGCAAAGTCAGAAACGAATGGGATATTTAAGTCGGTATGAATAGTATGGTTAGAGACATAAAACATAAAAGTTAAAATCATGTTACATACTCGTATTATTATTTTTGAAACATCCCTAATTTTATACCCTTAAAAAGGTATCATGATACAATTCTGGAAACCCTGTATTGAACAATCTTGACGTAGGACGATTTATTACATGGGCAATCAATCGGATCTTAAGTTCAGTCTAACTCACATTTCTTAAAACAAAATCTTGTTTATTGGATCCTAGCTCTTATTCAAATTTTTTCCGTTGATAGTAGTTTAAGTGATTTATTTAGGCAAACGAGACAAGAGATAAGGGCGTGTTAGTTTGAGTAGGAATAGTGGTCCTGAGCCCAAAAAAGGCTGATTAGTGTGGCCCGAGGCAGTGTTTGTTTAGGCACGTGCCAAGTGTTAATTTCAGGTGGGATGGGCGGCCCAGGTCTAATAACCCCTCTAATATGATTCAGGTTCAGTCAACAACTCTATATTTCATGTTCCTCCTCTATTAGGCCGAGCACTCCTTCATTTGAATAAAAAGCCCGACCCCGAGACGCACGGCGAACCGGCTAAATTATTTCTGGCATTTCTCAAAACGATTTGAGACACAAGTTGCAAGGCGTTTTCAATTGCTTGCCCAACCCAAAAGAACGAGTTGAAATAAATCTCTGGCCGAGTATAAACGGGGATAAGCAAGTTATGTTAGTACACCTGTACGAATATAAATCAAAATTTGCCAGTATTACTTCACTTAAGTAACTTATTACCTTTTACGCCGTCGGGCGAGAAAGAAAATAGCGTACTAGTGCAAAACGTGATCATTAAAATATTTTGTGACTAATTCAATCAATTTGAACAAGCTAAAGTATGGTCGTCGCTTGGTATGGTCAAACAAACACGTTTTGGCTTTTGGCCATCAATGTTATAAGCAGGAAGAGGAAGGCAACTAACCCATCAACACCCATTTTATTTGTTTATAAATTATTAAGCGCTTTGTTGTTTGAATTAACGATCTGTGTAACCAATCGTAAGACCATCTCCAACGGTTTGTCCACAACTTCCCGATCTTTTTGATCCAATAGAAATTCAATACATATTTTCGCGATATGTAAGTAACAAATGCTGTTTAGAATTGGTCTAGTTTGTTCAATATATATAATATTTTATTAAAAACAAAAGTTTAAATTAAACTTTTTTACTTCTATTGACATGTATTTCTTCTGTGCTGCGCCTTTCTTCAAGCAGTTGTACATAACCAGATATGCTCTATTTCTCGGTCCATAATTCTCCTCCTGCAAAGATAGCATATATCAATCGTTTAAACAATGATTTTCTTTTGTAATTTATACAGCACGCTTTCCGCGACAACAACACACCTACAACAGAAAGAAGACCTGATTCTATTGAAGGAAAGAATGCAAAATTTGGTTGAAGCACCAAGTTGAATCCTCTAAAGTTGAAACAGGTACGGAAAGGCGAAAAATAGCGAGCCAACTTCTTTAAGAAGAACAGATACTTTTGTAGTGAAAATGGAAAAACTGGCAGACAAACTGTATAGGGCTATCAATATATTACGTTTGGTTGATATATTCCAGATTTGAAGCAGCTACCAAAAGCGAAAAAACTTTATTACCTATGCACCTTTCTCAACACCAACTACTGCGAAAAAACTGATACTAATGAGAAGAAAATGCTGAAACTGACAGATAAACTGTATGGAGCCATCAAGACATTTCGCTTGGTTGATATCTTCCAGATTTGAGGAAGTTACTATAAGAAGAAAGAACTATTTTCTGATGATTTCTCACACCTTCTCAGATTACAACACATCAACTTCACTTAGAAGAACCGATCCTACTCAGAAGAAAATTGAGAATTTGACAGATAAACTGTGTGGCGCCAACAAGATATTGCGTTTGGTACATATCCTTTAAAGTTGAAGCGTCTACTAAAAGGCTGAAAACATATTTCCTTTAGTCATTTAAGCAACACTCTTTTGTGATACCAATTACAGCAAGAAAAACTGATACTACTGCAGTAAAAATGGAGAAACTGACAAATAAACTGTACGGTGCCATGAAGGCATTAGATAGAGTGATATCCTTCAGATTTGAAGCCTCTGTTAAAAAGGAAAAAGGTTTTCTATTTTTTTCAACGCCACATACCTTTTCCGATACCAACCTATCTACTCCAGAAAGAAGAACCGGATATTACTGAAGAACAATAGAGAAACCACAGACAAACTGTATGAGACCATCAGATTTGGTTGGTATCCTCTAGATACCAAAAACTGAAAAAAATTTCCTCAAGCTACACATTTTTTCGACACCGACCCACCAACACAAAAAGAAAAAAAAACAGCTGAAAGGAAAAAGGGGAGAAACAAGTCAAACTGAATTGTGGCCTCACACGCCATGTATAGTCCTCAGTCGTTTAGTTTATTCTTCTGTGCAGGATTCTAGCAATCTGACAGACAAACTGAGCGTCAATGGAGCCCAGAAAAGATTAGCTAGGCGAATATCCACCTGAATCAGCCAGCTATCAAACGGTGAGATGCTAAATTTGCCACCTCACCTATGCCGAACGCTTATCGAAACACCAAAAACTTCATTAGACTATCGGTAGCTGCTTGAATAATATAGAAAAAGAAAATCCTCGAATACGCAGAGAAACAAAAGTTATGATTAAGTATCGTCGTATTGTAAATCTTCTGCCTATTCACTTGAATTTTACCAATGACCGCAATGTAATGGAGTGCTTGTATAATTTTAATGAAATAAGACTTATTCTGAACTGTGCAATCCTTTAAGCATCCTCTTACCAAATTAAAATAACTAGCTAAACGGAAAATTGTTATAATTCTTTATCATACAACACATCCACATCAAAAACAAGAACTGATACAACTGAAAAAATATGCATAAACTAGACGGGAAAAAGGTGTGGCTACATTCGCTCAGCTCAGTTAAAAGTTCAGTTTTCTTTATCGGCAAAATTCCAGTAAAATAATGTGTATGACGCCGTGTAGATCGAAACTCTTTCGGCTTATGCAAAGTTTGTAACATCTACCAGAAATGGCCTGAGAGGTCAGGTTTCAGGTCTGGTTTTATGAAGACAATCTTTACGATGTACATAGGATGGTTTTTGCACTGCTGTATTGAACTCTGAACGAATTGTTTTGCCTTGCTTGTTACCACCATTGTAATCAAGTGATCTAGCTGTACCGTACGAAGTATTTTCCAAGTTTAGACTTTAGAATATCTTATAAGCAATTCCTATACGAGTCATTTTGATGGTCATGTGTCCACACGCGTTGAGATTTGGAAGAGAGCTCATAGGGTCAATAACAGAGAGCCCCGGAAACCCATTTGTCAAAGGCCGACCGTCGCTGGAATCTGGTACAAATTTATGCGTGGATATCAATTGGCATAGAAAGCCGCCCACGCTGACGACGGTATGCCACCAAGGATTGCCGCTTATGAAATGGAAAGGGCTATATGCCCAGGGTTACATAGACATCTGAGAATTCCGCGAGCGCGGGGGGGCGCTGCTTGTATAATCCTCCTCGGGTCCGGCAATACCCCGCCAACCGCGACCCCAGATTTATCTCCGACCCACTACAATCGTGACTCCACCTAACCGCCTTTACTCTCAGCTATTTACATTTTTACACGTATTTACACGATTACGCCCCTCACTAAAGAGGATTTATCATTTAGATATATTTCCTTTACAGACTTAGTATGATTTACACTGGTGCGTTCGTAATTCCCAGTCCGATACTTGCAAATAAAGGAGGAACGCTCGCGAGATGTACGACTATGTCCATCGACATTTCCAACTGATCGAGGATTAAGTATAAATATTAGCTTTTGCAAAAACTGAGGAAGAACATCAGCTGAAAAACGTCCTCCTTTGACAGGGACTGGATAGTTTTTCTCTCTGCTTCTACAAATTGACTGAAATTAATTATTAACATGCTGACAAACTACCACATATCAGGAGTACATACGGAATAAAATGACCAGAGATTAAACCAAAAGCAATATTCTACACACCAAATATTTACTATAATTTTTTTAATCAAAAATAATAAAACTACATAGAATTTTGGTTTAATATTTAAACATAGTTCACATTATTTCAAACCACAATATTTAATATAATTTTTTAAGAAAAAATAATAAAACTACATACATTTTGATCTAATATTTAAACATATTTCGTATTATTTGACAACAAAATAATTCCTATCATTTTTTAAAAGAAAAATTAAAACTACTTACACTTTAGGTCTAATATTTAAACATATTTCACATTATTTGGCACCAAAATATTTACTGTAATTTTTTAAGCCAAAATAATAAAACTACATACAATTTTGGTTTAATATTTAAACATATTTTGCATTATTTGACACCCAAATATTTTACTGTAATTTTTTAAAAGAAAAATTAAAACTACTTAGACTTTAGGTCTAATATTTAAACATATTTTAAATTATTTGACAGATAAATGAAAAATAATAAAACTACTTATAATTTAGGTGTAATATTTAAACATGTTTTACATTATTTAACACCAAATATTTTCTATATTTTTAAAACCAAAAATAATAAAACTACATACAATTTTGGTATAATATTTAAACATATTTTACATTATTTGAAACCAAAATATTTATTTTTCTTTTAAGCCAAAAATTATAAAACTACATACAATTTAGGTATAATATTTAAACTTATTTTACATTATTTGACAGCAAATACTTGATATAATTTTTTTAAGTAAAAATAATAAAAGTACATATAATTTTCGTCTAATATTTAAACATATTTTACACACGCACGTAAATACTTTCTTTCTGCCTTGTTTAATAATTTATTTGGGTCAGTGAAAGTCATAAAGAGTAAACATGCGAAATACCATGCTCAGGTATTTCCTTATTCAACAAATTCAATGTTTCTTTGGAATATTGTAAAGGACATGAACGAAACCTAATTATATTTTGACACGGTATAACTAATGATTTTTTTAGTAAAAAAGTCGAAGGTCGTGGGTTCGAATCCTGCTTGTGACACTTGGTTTTTCGTCTCAATCATGAACTTAGATTGAAATTATAATTAATTAAATTATAAAAAGTGTTTAACTAATTGCATAACCAATAGGCATGAGACCACAGACAAATTCTTTTTCAAAAGTTCTTTATTTACATCACAGCAATTTTTTTCGTGTCAATTATATTTATTAGCATTTATTTTCCTGGCCGTAGCCGCCGGAGAGTCAGCCGGTATTACCTAGCAATTCTCATTAAAATTATATTTTATTGCTGTTTACGTTGAGTACATCTTACACCGACATTATATATTTTTCATTAGATTACATACGTACCTATTACCTTTTTTCTTTCATAAATAAATTGTTATAGAAGAAACGTCAATACTGTTTTTTGCTAAGTTATACAACTAAAAAATCAATTTTTTATTGTGGCAATATTACTTTATTATTGTAATAAAAATGTAGAAGAGTAAAACTTTAGTCACCACTGATAATTGTCGTTATTCGTTAGAGACAAAGAAAGAAAGGAAAACATTGTATGATGGGCGTTGAAAATCGTAATTGTTATGTTGGGATAGGTCGGTCCAACGGTTGGTTTTCACGCAGCACACAGCAGGAAGGACAGAACTAATCTGTGAGGAAATAATAGAAAAATGAATTATGAAAATGAGTTATGGAAATAGTTAATGGAACTACACGGTTCAAAGGGTACGATTCAATTAGGTAGAGGAATTTACAGTTGGCAGCAGTCATGAATATGTTATATAACATGATCTTTATGCTCTCTTGCATTTTCCCCGAGTGGTATTCACAGTTTCTTGGCTTCTCGCGTCTTTTGACTTTCCCTCTTTGTCGGATGGTACGGTGTCTTAACCGTATATGGTGTAACTGTATAGGGTACATCTGATACACCAACGCACAAGACGTCTGCAGGTGGTCTAAAAAAGGCCGGTCGACAGTCCGTGGAACTTGCACGACCGGTGGATAATTAGAATCACAGCCCGCATTGCAACTGGTGTAAATGTTTGTACAATTCGAGGATTAAGGTCGATATTTATACGACACTTCACTACAGGTGCCCACATGTGCGATCTTCGTAAACAAGGCTGTTTAATTCCTAAGTTACTTTTGGATTCGTTTTGATTAGGTTTAATTCCATCTAGTGACTTTGATGGTTCTTGAAGATGGCACTTCAAGACCTCCTGAGAACGCCAGATGGTCCACTAAAATTTATAACGGCCCGAATAGTAGGCGGGCCCTGGCGACGAATATCGCTAGGGAAAGTGCTTAAATGACAATTATGCTAGACACTATCAGCTTATCAAGTTCGTCTCAGAACAACCTGCCTGCATAAAATAAAACAAATTTATTGCCAAATAATTTATTTTCATATTATATCTTTAAAATGGATTTACGACTAAAATTTCAGACGCACATTCATATGCGAGTCTCTTGTTTGTTTCTCGGTCCTGGCTCGGATTTTTGTTTAAATACAATAGTTGTATACACTTTATTAAAGGTACTCATATATATTAAAGGTACTCCTATTTATTTATTTACAAAAAATAAAACTCATTACAACATCGATTAAATAAATATCCTCTTTGTCTTTCTCTCTCTCACTCTCTCTCTCTGACTTACGCTCTCCCTCTCTCTTAATCTCTCTCTCCCTCTCTCCCTCCCTCATCGGTTCTTGTAAATTTTGCGAAAATTTCAGTTCCAAGCAGTTTTTTTGGGACACACATAAACCACACATTCTTGAAGTTACTATTTTACTATTTATTTATTTACTCAAAAATAAATCTCATTCACATCTCATAAATAAATAAATAACCTCTCTCTCTCTCTCTCTCTCTCTCTCTCTCTCTCTCTCTCTCTCTCTCTCTCTCTTTCTAGATTCTCTGACAATCTGATGATCTGATTATCAAGATGCATTTTAAAATTTAGCCACTTCAACAGTGAACAGACCTAATTACATAGAAAAGACAGACCAAAGCACCTCGTACTCCTCAACAAAACCTTACAATAATGCTTTTTCGTTCGAATTTTGTTAATTTAATTTAATTTTTTTCACCAGGTATATACACAGCAAAGAAAAACCATTCAAGTGCGGTGAATGCGGCAAAGGTTTCTGCCAGTCGAGGACCCTCGCCGTCCACAAGATACTTCACCTCGAAGAATCGCCGCACAAGTGCCCGGTCTGCAGCAGGTCTTTCAACCAACGGTCCAACCTGAAGACGCACCTCCTCACGCACACGGACATAAAGCCGTATAACTGCCCGAACTGCGGCAAAGTATTTCGGCGCAACTGTGATCTGCGGCGGCACAGCCTGACCCACAACCTCGGCTCGGCCACGGCCACTCCGGAACCACCGCCCATCGTCGACAAAGCATCTTAAGTCACATTTTTAACCGTCACTTTTTAAACCACCGAAAATACGAAGGGATATTAATACCATCTGTTGAGATTTTGGGTGGTGTGGAACTTGACTAATGGCCATGGCTAAAGAGCCATTAACAATGGCTCTTTCGTCCAGGGACTTATGACATAAGACAAACTTTTAAAAACAAGATTTACCCCTTCTCTTAACTCTTGTTTTGACTGCTAAAAAAGACTGTTTAGAGATCCAAATCGCGATTTTCTACATCTGTTTTTATCCCAAGATTGTTGCTTTAAAAATCAAGTTCCCACAATCTCATTTTATAACTCAAGCAAATGGCTGTTCGGAGTGTATAATTGAACCTAGTGCAATTGTCTTCAGACCGTCTGAAATTCTCGTGGGCATTATGTTTTAATGATGTGCCTTATTTATTATTTTCTATGTTAACGTTTTAGCAATTAGAGAGTTTTATACATATATTTTTAATTTACTATAAATATTAAAATAATATTTTGTGATCTTGTAAATATAGTTTATAAAATATATGAATTTTTTTACATTGTAAAAATCAAGATTTTTTTCTTGTCAATTCCTATCATAACAATGCTTACATCATAAAAAAGATGTTTGAAGGTAAATCAGGTAGGTTTTAGATGTACATATCAATATCGATCATTATTGATTGAACATAAGATTGAACGTGTGTGGTGATTAGTGACCGTTAGTCGATAATTATTCAGAAATCGTGAGATGCGTTCTGGTGTGATGTAGGTTTCAGAAAAATATTTTCTTTATCGTGCCAACCTTTCGATCTTTATTGAGATCATCTTCAGGGCTCATGGCACTCTCAACAAGACACGCAAGAATGGCACAATTACACAGAAGACAAACACTTTGAGCTCTGAAGATGATCTCAATAAAGATCGAAACGTTGACACGATAAAGAAAATGTTTTTCTGAAGCCTACATCACACCGGACCGCATCTCAAGATTTCCAAATAATAAGATTTAACTTTAATTTTTTTTACAATTTATAATATTTCACAGTCAAATATATAAGATAAAAATAAAGAAACATAAATGCTGCAATACACAATTAAGTTTATTTATGTACTATATAAGCATATTTTATAAGTGATTAATAAGTAGTTAAAAGTACATTTATTTATCTTTTATTTTTTAAGCTAATTCCAAATAAAGCCAATAAATTTACTAATAACAAACAAATATTAATTTTTACATTAATTACATTAAAAATATAGCTTCAGATGAATTGTAAGCTAAAATTACATTTGCCTAAAGCTTTCGTTAGATAGCACTTTTTACCAAACTTTTTACAAAGTCATCCTTTTGATTTTGCGAAATCGACGATATGTACGTAATATTGATAAGTACATGGAACATCAAGTTGTATAATCTTTAAAAAAAAGCGAGATATGTATGTCTTGTATGTAAATCTAAATATGAATTTTTTACATTATAAATTCAATTCTTATCATAATAATACACAGATCATAAAAAGTGGTACGAAAGCAGAATCAGTTAGGTTTTAGATGTAAAAATCAATATAGATCATTATTGATTAAACATAAGATTTAGGGGGCGTCGGTGGCCGCAACGGTTTAGGCGTTAACATGGCGCTCATCAGGGTAAAGGTCCCCGGTTCGAATCCAACGGCCCTGCATTCGAACCCGACATACTTGCCAGTTGGCTTTTTTTTTCAAAAACACCGGCACTCCGAGGGTTGATATGACCTCTGCTGTTGCGAACCCTCGTAAAAAAAAATTTAACTTTAAAAAAATTCACAATCAATTATTTATGATAATAACAACGAACCAACAAATGCAGAATATATCTGAAGGTTTTTTTCTTTTTCCACAGATATGCTAGTTCCCAACAAAATTAATAATAATAAAGCCATTTGGGTTTTTTTTATTGATCATAATATGAAAAATTATTGTAAATAGTTTGACCTTACCTCCGCGACCGATCCTTATGGCAGGAATTACTTTAGATTTTTACTTTTATAATCAGGCATAATGCAAACCATGTTTAAATCATCGTACCATTAAATTATAATTAAATTGTACAATTTTGTGTTGAAAAACTAAATTAAATGTGATAAATTTGATTAGAAATATAAAATATGACAATTAACCTTTAAATGTTCAATAATTCAATTTAAAGTGGAGAATATGGACGTTGAACCACCCATTTTATGGAAATTCCTTAATGTCATTTTCTTGGTAAATAAATTACAATTAGAGATAATAAAACGTATGAGGATTGATTTCATCCTTATTTTTCTCATCCATGAACTGTAATCAAACGCTACAGATATAGGCTAAAAAATGATAAATGCAGCTTTCCAATCTGTTCTAATAGTCGACAAAGGGTGCAATCTAGAAAAGTTATGCATTTTTAAGCGTCAATGGAAAAAATGACCTAGTAACTAGTTTTTAAAAAAATCTCACATATTAAATAACTTTTTATAAGAGAAAATAGGTACAATAATAATAATTAACAAAATTAGAGAGGCAAGGTGTATATATGGTGTATAAAACATAATGTCACACCCTTTATTATCAAAAACAAGAATACGTACAAAAAATACAAATAATATCCATATTAAGTTTCGGTGGAAAAAGAATAGTACAAATATTTAAAATTTGAAAGAAAATATCTTGTATCGTATCAGATCTGGAAAAGGTGAATGACGTTTTTAAAATACCGTTTAGTCACGTTGTCCATCTCACTCCCTCTTTCTCTATCTATCTCGATATATATCTTTACAAGTAATCATTTAAACTTTATACTTCTGTATTATCCGTTTGTGAAAATCTTCAATTATATTTCTGACTTCTTAGCTGTTCTTAGCTCCAATTTTTTTAAACAATTAACATCAAAGTACATGTATCACATAATCATTTGTATCAATTAGAATGAGTACATTATTATTTATACATGTTGATACATGAATACATTTCACAGAAAAAATGTTTGTCACAGATTAGTCCGGCTTAACTAATAGATCCATTATATTTCGTGGTCTATTTACCAAGTTACTTCTGTCAATGAATTAATATTTTTATTTAAGTTTATGGTCGAAATGAAAAATGTGTGGTGATTAGAGACCGTTTGTCGTGATGATTATTTAGAAATCGTGAGATGCGGTCCCGTGTGATGTAGGTTACAGAAAAACATTTTCTTTATCGTGCGAACTTTCGATCTTTATTGAGATCATCTTCAGGGCCTGAGATTTTCAAACATTGTTTAAATTTAAGAAAAAACATGTAGGACGTGGAAAAAAGTGAATTTATACAATGCAAAAAATATATATATTTTTAATATTCAATCAAAGTATTTCTCCTCACTCAAAGTGTTTGTTTTCTGTGTGATTGTGCCATTCTTGCATGTTGTGTTGAGAGTGTCAACGTATATAAACATAAAACAGCAATGCCTCACTGACACTCTCAACACAACACGCAAGAATGGCACAATTACACAGAAAACAAACACTTTGAGACTAGATCACACCAGACGGCATCTCACGATTTCTGAATAATCATGAAATGAAAAAGTTAGTGCCATGAGCGGGATTCGAACCCACAATCTTCGGCTAAATACCGCTGCTCTGCCACTTGAGCAGTAGTGACGTCGATCCACTCGGACACCAACTTCCCATCTCAACCTACAACCTTTCGAATTTTCCCCACTTTTTGCCATTTTTCAAAAAGATTAATTAACTCATAGATTTTTTCCAGTAAATATAAGTATTTTATTGATTGTTACGTTTGGCGATAAAACATACAACACCCTGTTAATTAATTTTCTCTACTGCAAGAAAACTTAGTACATAGTCTTATATTAATAATTAATAAATCGTGTATTCATTCATTTTCTGTTGTTTTATAGACATTTTAAAATGGTGAATAACGAAAGGAAATCCTCATAATTTTTTTGGCGTTATCACTTGATCTGTCAACTTGCCGCTTTTACGAGTGAGAAAACCCGTAGGAGTTTTATGATAAAAATAAAATATCTGGTCATATACGACGGCCTGGGTCCAAATATCTAACCCCCATGGCGGTGAACAAAGGCAACAAGTTGTTAACGTTAAACTACCAGGTGTCGCGATGGTTATCGCCCCGGATTCCAACGCCCGCCCGGGCGACTTCTAAGAAGCAGGAGAGGATGAAGGGTAAAAAATTAAAGTGTTCCGTATGTAAAGTGTGCGAGGTAGTCGACGCTTACTGTGGATTGACGTGCTCAGATGGGATCTGAAAGGCCACATCTGCGTCAGGTAGCGGGAGGTACAAAGGTACAAAACGTGTCAAAATAGGAAGTGCATTAAGCTAATGGTTACCCCCTTGTCAATAGACTATTTCATTCAAGCCACCGCCCTCCAATTCTCAATGACAAACAAGAATTTCAAGAGTCCTCGATTTCATTAAATTTCTTCAACCAATTGTACGCATACTATTCGCATCTTTTTACTTTCAATCATTGTTCCGTGATTTGTATGAAAGTGGATTTTTTAAATCATTTTCATTAATTATTTTTTAATTTTTTTTAAATTTATTTTTTTATTACGAGGGTTCGCAACAGCAGAGGTCATGTAAACCCTCAGGGTGCCGGTGTTTTTGAAAAAAAAGCCAATTAGGACGTCGGGTGCAGGGCCGCTGGATTCGAACCCGGGACCTTTACCTTATAGTGATGAGCGCCGTGGCAACGCCTAAACTATTGCGGCCACCGACGTCCCCCTATTGTTGTTATTATCTTTCAGTTAAATGATTCAACGAATGTTTGATAGTTGAGGTTTTAATTTTAATTTCTTCCTTTTGGGCTTAAAACAAAACTTGGGGTTGAAAAAAATTGGAGAGACAGAAAAAGAGAGACCGATATACTGACAAAGGGGTCGTAAGAGAAATTGGTTGGTTAAGGTTATATTCATAGTCCCAGAGATACATAGGTAGGTAGAAAGATAGATAGATAGACAGAAAGAGAAATATAGAGATAAAGATAAAGAGAGAGAGAGAGAGAGAGAGAGAGAGAGAGAGAGAGACAGACAGAGAAAGCGAAAGTGAGGGATATAGGGAGAGAGAGCGGGGAGGAGGAGAGATAGACAGAGAGGAATAGAGAAAGTGATGTAGAGAGAAGGAGAAAGAAAGAGAGTGAATAAAGAGTTAGAATTAAAGTTAGAGAAATTTCATAAATAAAGAACGATAGAGTGGTAGATAGGATTCATAAATATACAGTGAGTGAGTAAGTGAGTGAGAAAGAGAAATAGAGATAAAAAGAGTGAGAGAGAGAGAGAAAGAGGGAGAGAGAGAGTGAGAGAGGATAGAGGTAGAGATAGAGAGAGAAACAGAAAGCGAAAGGGAGGGATATAGGGAGAGAGAGCGGGGAGGAGGAGAGATAGATAGAGAGGAATAGAGAAAGTGATGTAGAGAGAAGGAGAAAGACAGAGAGTGAATACAGAGTGAAAATTAAAGTTAGAGAAATTTCATGAATAAAGAACGATAGAGTGGTAGATAGGATTCATAAAGATAGTGTGAGTGAGTAAATGAGTGAGAAAAGAAATAGAGAGAAATAGAGTGAGATAGAGAGAGAGAGAAGTAGACACTAGAAGAAAGACAGAGAGTAAGTACAGGTTGAGCATTGAAATTAGACAAATTTCATAGGAAAAAAAAAAGAGTGTGTGAGGTGGAAGTAGAGACTGAGGAAAAGAGAGAAAGAGTGATCACGAAATGTAGGATTAAAAAGAAGAAAGAAAGAGAGAGAGAGAAAGAAAGAGAGAGAGAGAGAGAGAGAGAAAGGGATGGAGGGAGAGAGAGAAAGAGAAAATAAATGTTCATATTTGTCAATCTTTCAAAATAAAAATACTAGTTTTAACGCACTGGTATTCGATATATATTACTCCAAAGCAACTGAAAGTTCTGTTAATACTGGAAATACAATTTTTTTGCTGAACTATTTTTGAACACCGAAAGTTCTCGAGAAGAAGCACTTAATGCTTTAAAATGTATTATATGTATGAACTTAAATATGTCCGGTAAGCAAGAGAAAAATAAAAGGAAAACAATTTTGTGATTTTTAAATAAAATGAACCTTTGTTATATATAAAATAAAACCTTTGCAGTTACCTGGTATCCTTTTTTATTTCTTCGGAGTTACTTGAACTGATACTTGAGTGCAAAAAAAATAAATAACTTCCTTTTGTGCAAGTACTGACCAATTTTCAGGCCGGCTTCACCTGAAATGTATCTAATGAAGTGCTTTCCTTTTCCAAACACTTCACACGGATTTGTAGCAACCTCCTAGAGATAGATGTTAGTCTTCCAATAACTCCTAAAAGGATTCGTTCACACGGTGTGATTTAGGTTGACAAGCGTGAGCCATGCGACGCCGGAGGTCCTTAAGTAATAGTGGGTGGTCTGGTTGTATTTGCAAACAGAGGCCACACTCCTGGATAAGCTTCAAGGATCATCTTCATCTGACCTCCTTTTAACAGCTGCCCGAATCAAAAAACGATTGTCGGGAGATTTTGACGCCCCGGGCATTGACTCGTTCGAGGGCCATCTGCAAATGTGTTGTGTTGACAACTGCATCTCCTTCGGGACATCTTGCAGCGTAAAATGAGGTCCTTTGTTGTGATCGTTCTTTAGGTCATGCCGGCCACCTTTACCCTCCTTGAATGGAAGATTAACGCAAGTCCTTAACAAATGAAAAAGAATAGACTCAGGGTGTTGTAACAACCAATGCTGACATTTACATTTTGTAGATAGAATATTAATCATATTTAATTCGTATTTTGATAGGATTCGTAAAAATCCTTGGATTTATTTTATTTATGAGATGAACAATCGGTTTATTCCAAATTGCCTTATTTGGAAGTGTATCAATATTGTTCAACCGTATGCTCGTTAAAAGCCTTTTAATTCTTATGTAGCCGCTGTACGGATTCAAAGAGGTTCAGCTTTATTTATGTTAATGTTCTGACCTTGGGTCAACAGGACTTTCCCCGTCGCGACGATAGAATTCGACCATAATATATTTTTTCCTGGCTCCAGGATTTTCACCACTAACGAGATCTTCCGAGCCGATGGCCAAGTTTAGGCATAATTCGAAAGTGGCGAACGACGAAACGACGAGACCTCGTGTTTTGGACGTGTTCGGCCGTTCACTCCGACGCCAGTGTGGCTTAGGTCCGGTCGCTCGGTTTACAGCCTCGTAAAACTACCTCGGATGTCCGACTATCCTTTGTGATTCATATAACCATCGGAGGAGTTTTACGCCTAAAATTGATTTAACGCAAGGATCGACCGTTAAAACGGAGATGACAATGTGATGATGCTTTATGCCTTGCTCGAGTCGAGTACCGTTGGACCTGCTTAAAGCTTCAAGCTTTTTCGACCGAATTTATCCTGTTGGAAATAAAAAGTTGAATATAGAAGTCGCTTCGCACACAGGTTTATATGTATCGGGTCCCACAACTGACAACATTTGGGTCCGATCAATCTCGCTGTTCGATTTTGAAAGAAAGAGAACGTGTCCCTATTTATAGAAAGAATAAACTACTACCAAAAAACCTAGTTTGTTCCTTTTTTTAAATTTAATAAAACGAAAATTTTTTTCCAGTATTTCAAAAAATGACAAGCTTGTTATATTAAGAATAATAAATCATTATGTTTTGTTGTATTTGTAAAGATAAAAATAAAGGTGTAGGCATGAAATTTTTTCCAAATAAACAAAACACACATATACACACACAGACTTCAATATACTTCAATATTCCTCGTACCATTTTACGCTACCAAAGATTCAAATAATACTGTACTGTTGTAGGCTACAGTTATAGGCTCATAAAATCCAATGAAATTTATTATATAAGATTATTAAATAATTACAATAATAATAGATTATTCATTGACAAAAATTAAATATAAGGTAGATCTTCAAGTTCTGATTGGATACTATGATAAGGTATGAAGTTGTACACACCAAAGCTTTTAACTTTGAGATATAAGCAGTAGAAAAAGATTTGAATGCATATTTTTATGGTAAGTTAGATAAAGTTATGAAACAAGTATAATAAAACATTATAAGGCAGAATATAAAAAATAATTTAACAAAAGAGTTCTTATTGTATTTTTTCCCCATTGGGTTCGTACTATCGTACATCTTGCCATTCTATTCTTATTTTATTGGACTGTATAATTTTGATGTGAATTTAATTACCTTCGATGTCGGTCGCTCTCTTCTACGTTCCACCGTGCTTGGTGTGCAATGGGGGGAAAAAAGGGCGTGATGTCAGAAAGGGTAGAACGTACTGAGGAGTACGATAGTGAAGTAAATGAGGTCCCAAATATGAAGTAAATACGGCTGAAAATAAATGAGGATTACAAGTGGCAACGAAAGTAAGTAAATGAGGATTACAAGTGGCAACAAAAGTAAATAAAATGAGGGTACACGAATAAAAATGTAAAAGAAATGGCACGCTGACGCGAAGTGAGACGAAAAAAAAAGAAGAAAAAGTGAGGTAATTAGAAAAGACGAGCTGTGTAGATGGTGGTGTGGAAAGACTAATGAAAATAGTTAACAAGTCAGAAAACAAAATAAGGCAAAATAAATCATTTTATTGTGATCAAACATATTTGTGACATCATGATCATTTGTATATTTCTCAGATGAAAACATATAGACCCAGATACAGTATTCACAAATGGACATAATTTACCATTTCCACGTAAAACTATCACGCTGAATAATTATAAATATAATTTAAATTATGAAAAATAATTAATAAATACAATAAATAGTTTTAATATAGGTTTTATTTTTATTTTGTTGCTTTATTATATTAGAGTAGATTATTATAATTAATACTTTTTTGTACTTTTTCACCGTTTTTGTACCATACTATTTATCCCAGTTTTTTAAAGCGCAATTTTTTCATCACAGTTATAACGTTTTGAGTCAAGCCTTGGCTTCTATTTAGGTGGAAACTCAAGAAATTCAATTTCAAACAGAAAAACTGAGATAAATAATTTAGTACAAAAACATTGTTGAAAAGTGCATAAAAGTAATTGCTGTAATAGCACCAAATAGTATTAAATAAGCAAATGAATAAAAGCGTTATTCATTGACTAAATTTATGCAGAGTTAACAAGCCATGAGTAGGTGTACTGACTAGTAATTGCCATAAAGCACTTTTTGTTAGTAGTTGAGTTGTATGGCGTTAATTTTGGCAGTTCCATGTAGACTTCTGTGAATTATGAACTGTTGGACTTACAAATAAATAGCAAATTGTTAATTTGAAAAGGATGGTTAATTTTTATGTTTGTATTCCACCTCTTAGCATGGCTGAAATATTACATTGTTATTTTTTCCTATCAGAATTATTGATTGTTTAAATAAATTGGAAAATTCGTAGTTAACAGTATTTGCAAAAATAAAATATATACATGCAAGTTTTCTGTAAAAAATAGCAAATAAAAAAACTTGATTTGAATTTTTCAATAGAAGATCCAAAATGTTTTAGTTTTTAACATACATGAAAAATAAGAAAATCTCATTTACATGCTTATTAAAGACGATTGTAAATAGTAATGAAGTAATAACAGATTTGTTTGTATACTTGAAAGACAGAATGTTGTAATCTGAATAAAATTACTGTATAATTGTTTTTGTTTTGTTTTTAATTTTCAACTCATGTGATTTGGAAATGTTTGTTTCTGTTATTTATAACTTCGTTCCATTTATTGAGTTAACTTTAATGGATGAATTTTAATAGCAATTCATGGTGGATTAGAAAGTTATGATTTTTTTTAAGCGATTAAGAGATTTTAAACAGTTTAATGACTGAAAAATAACAATTTTCGAATATTTTTCTTGCTATCTGAGGGGATATTAACCTGTAATTATGTCGATTCTCATCATTTTTGTCATACAGTTCTTCCTGGGTTGGTCTGTCAGACGTGTTTCGGCCTTTCGCCATCTTCAGTGTTGCGAAAGTAGAGATCTCGTTTGCTTTTCTAAAATTTGCCTCAAGAAAAAAATATCACAATTTTTTTATCAATTTTAAATCAAATCTCCCGACGGAAATGACATATAAATCATTCATAATTATAATATGGAACACGTTAAAAGCCGTCCATTTGTCTTCAAGTTCTCTTAGAAAAGGAGAGGCAATAGAAAATTAGGTAATTAATTTGAATTTGTTGTTGTGAACGTTACGAAAATTGTATATATTGGCCAAATTAATTACCATTATTACAAAGCATAATTTTATATGAAAAAATTAGGGGGCATCGGGTGCCGCAACAGTAAAGACGTCGACACGATTCTTCAACTTCCACTGTAAGGTAAAGGTCCCAGGTTCGAACCAGCGGCTCTGCATTTGGATCCGACATACTTACAAATGTTTTTTTTTTTAAACACTGGCGCACCCGAGGGTTCGTATAACCTCGTAGTTGTAAAGTAGTAAAAAAACTAAAATAGCGATCAAGCAGAGATTTAGTTTGCTTTTCTAAAATTTTCCTGCCTTGAAAAATACCACAATGTTCTATCAATTTTAAATCAAATGGTAACGATGGAAATGGCATATAAATGATTTATAATTATAATATGAAACAAGTTAAAAGCCATTTCTCCATTTTTCTTCAAGTTCTTTTAGAAAAAGAGAGATAATTTGAAATAATAATTTAAATAATTTAAAAAAAATTTATCCAGCTATCGAGCAATGAACGAGAACCCCCATAAAAAATACAGAATTGACGAATGGTTGATCTTGTTCACTATAAGCTCTATTCTTAATTTCATTATGTATTGTTAGTTGTTCATATTTGCTGACAAGGAAAATTATTAATAATAGTACGGTAGGTTGTTGAACAACGTACTGCAACATGGTATATTCTTTATTAAGAGGACGTTTTCTTGAAATGAGTCCTCTTCAGTTATTAATTTCATTTGTATATACACCGGACTTCTTATCAAATAAACATTGTTTCGAAGTCCACTGGATATAAAAATAAAATTAACACTGAAGAGGTCTTGATGTGGAAAACGTTCTGTTAATAAAGAAAATTCTACGCTATAGTATATTTTTCAACAACCTTCAGTACAAGTGTAGAATTGTAGAGTAAAAAGCAAAAATATTAAAGTATTTTTTAAAACAATATTAATAATGATTTCAATTTAGTATTTCTTTCTCTCAAATCTGTCTTACCTCTGAAGTTAATATAAAATTAGCTGTGTATATTTCTATATGTGTATATATATATTTTTTTAAATTTATGAGACGGAGACATATTTATTATTGCTACATTATCACTACTTTGAAACTTTTTTTTGTATCGGAGTCATTCAAATTATGATGAAAATGAGCCTGTTCATAATTACAAGTGGTAACCTTTATCTTTATGTTAATCTCGTCGGGGTCCCGTGTATCCCACGTAATCGTTCGTGTCGGGCTGTTTGAAAAGACGAAAAGGAGCCAATCGACTTATAATGCGGCGGGGGATAATTTTTGCAACCGCACGTACCAGGGCCGGACAAAAAACAATTCCCCTGTATGAGAAGTGTCACATCACTCGGCGGCTTATCCCTTCAGTGATCCAAGATGGCCGTCGTCGGATACACGACTTGGATTATCATGACAATACGGAGGAGGGTGAGGGAGAAAAAAGGAGCCGACAATAGCACGTACAGAGTCGCAATTGGTAGACGGAGTTTGACGGGGGTCTCCATTGGCCGGAGCCCCACCTTTGAGGAGGCCGGGCCCCCACTTGGCCAAGTTTCATTAACCGGCGACAGCTGAGGGCTCAATTTGAGGGAAAGCGATAAACCGAACAATACCCGCCCATGACGCCCCATACATAACCCTTGCCATTAATGTCAATCGCTTACCTCTTAGTTAAAAAATGTTAAATAGCCCGACGTATTTGACTTCACGGAGCCGAACAATACTCTTCATTATGCGTCCTTCAATCAATTTTCACCAGGTGTGATCCGTCCGCCGGCGGCGTGCTTCGGACACGATCATTTTGTATAATTAATGAATGAAGGTTGGATTACAATAGGAGTTTTATAATGAAGTCTCCACGCCGTCTGATGCGTTAAGGATAAGGCGTGGGCTAATCGCTATTTCCACGCTTGAAATTTTTACTCTTTTGTACTGTTTGAAAAAAAAAAAAAACACTATTTACAACTTAGAATCATAAATCCAACATAGCCGATTATAATCCTTTCGGCCTTCGTCTTTGAACTTACAAGAAGAAGACCTAGAATTTTGTCTCGTTATACCACAAATGATATATAGTATAACAGAATTACTTATAAGAATCAGAAGAACATAAAAACACAGAATTAACATAGTTTCGAAGAATTTATGAAAGGGGGGATTTTAACTGCTCAAAAATGAATAGGGATATTGCATTTATTATAATATTTACTTTCCTTAGCATTGTTATTTTATTTTTATTATAAATTGCTTATTTGGAGATCATACCATACGGTCTGATGTGACGTAGGTTTAGAAAAACATTTTCTTTATCGTGCCAACGTTTCGATCTTTATTGAGATCATCTTCAGGGCACAAAGTGTTTGTTTTCTATGTAGATGTGTCATTACTGTGTGTCGTGTTGAGAGTGCCTCAAGGCAACAGGTTCAACAATCCAGTTCGTCCTCCAGTGTTAATTCCACCCAGACCGTTTCACCGCCTCCTACAATCTGCACTGAAGGGAACACGAACTGGGGCATTGTACGCATCACCTGTCCTCGGTAGACTCTTCGGCGCCTCCTATCACTATACAGACAGAAACGCGTCAACAGTAAAAGCATTACTTTTTGGTGTTCTCTTGTAGGCACTCGCTGCACCATATCCTCTTGAGTTGCTAGTGACGGGCTGTTGGTCCAGGTTGTCCCAAAGGGACATACGATGTGAGCCTAACTTCTCATTTTGGATTCGTAGTCGTTCGTGTTGATAATCTTGCACTTAATTTAGGATCTGGTTGGCACTATGGAAAGCGTTCCGTCTTTCGGCAATAACAATATATCTCCCTTAGCGTAGTAATGCGCTGTGATACACTGTCATGCCTCCTATTGGCACTTCCATTCTCTCGGATTCTAAAGCCCGGGAGACCACGCTCTAAGAAACGCCATCTGCCTCTGCGATCTCCTTGACTTATCCTCACAATAATATTCTGAACATCTGGCTCAAGATGATGTCTTTCCTTGGTTAAAAGGAATACAACTAGATTAAGGTGGAGAAAATACGAAAAAAGGTGTTTGTTTTCAAAATGAGTAATCTTCATGTTTACTATTCTTAAGTAAATCCATTTTGAACAGGCGCACGGCCACTTAAGTAAATCTATTATTAAAAATGAGGATTACATTTGATTATTCAATTGTTTTTGGTTTGTATTTTTTATTTTGTTTTATCGAACTAACAAGAACATATCGGTTAATTTAATTGAAATTAATAGAATAAGAATAAATTATAAATATTACTATTCATTTTTGAGCACTTTATTTCAAAAAACCGTGACTAATAAGAAATTCATTATTCATTAGGCGAGACATTAGTTAACGGCAAATAAATAGTTTTAAATGTCGACACTGTACTATTTTACCAAATTATGCTTCAAGCCTTTTATTACACATTACATTTTTTGTAACAACGTCCCGTTGTCATGATCGCTACCCGTCAGACTAACGCGATTGTGGTGGCCTCGTATCCGATATCGTGAAGGCAGCGGCCGACAAAGATAAGATGTATTAACATTATCAGAGAGAATTGATAATATTAAATAGTGAACAACTGTAAATAAAGGACTTATAAAATCGATTCGACAGGAATATGTTGATTTTGTCCGTATCTAAATCTATCGACATTATACATATTAAGAAAGTTACTTTTTCATAACATTTAAAGACATAATCACTGTCACATGGGATGTGTTTCTTAATGCCTCTATTATGTAATTTCTTCAGTATATAATATAAATACTATATGCATATAGATATTAGTCCACATAAATACATTATAGTTCCAGAGACAATCGTTTCTCTTTTTGTCTTACAAGACATTGAGTAAGAACCAAAACAGATGTTTTAGCATTGGATTTGGAATTATATAAACTCAAATATGTGCATATATTAATTCCACCGTTTGTACTTTACAATAAATTATCACAGGCCTCAAGAATCACCTACCTCGGGTGTTAGAAGTCAGCTGGAGTCAGTTCTCGCTCTTAACCGTCCAACCACCGAACTTGGGCTCCGAGTGCTGTAAACAGGTCACTTCAGCACCCAACGCATGCAGTACCAAACCCATTCACGCCCACACTCATTCTCTCTCTCACACACACACACACACACACACTCCTGTTTACATACCAGTCATGTACTCTATCCCTATATTTCTTCATTTCTGCATCACACTCTACACGTATTATGCAGATAACCTATGACCGTATCAATATTTTGTCTTATTCTTATTAAGTTAAAAATAAATTATTAATTTATCAACTCTGCATTCATGATTACCTAAATTTGGGACATATAACAACGTCCCGATGTCATGATCGCTATGCGTGAGACTAAGCGCGATTGTAGTGGCCATGTATCCAATATCGTGAAGGCAGCGTCAGACAACGAACATTATCAGAGCGAGTTAATAATATTAAATTGTGCACAACTGTAAATAAAGGACTTATAAAATCGATTCATTTTCAGTAATATATTGATTTTGCCCTTATATACATCCAGCGACATTGTAAATCGATTTTAATTTCCAAGATGCTAATCCGAACAGGGAAAGTTCAACTTAAAAAGAAAAGGGTTAGATATGGGAATCTACCAATAGTTACCAATTACTATTCTAATCTACCAATCTATTAATTTCTAGATGAAAACTACTTATTTCCCGTCATATATCAACACGAATCCCATCATCAACAGTTATTTGAGCTGGGGGCAGTCAAAAGTGCCTGTAAATTGTAAAAGTATGACCAAATGAAATCAATACAACAATCTCACGGAAACTCTATCAGCAAATCTAACAAAAATGTATACAGATACTGACAAAAACTCTGCATTTAAAGAATTTTATTCTTAAAGAATAGAAGTTATACAGTCAATCCACGAAGGGGAACTCCAGAGTAAAATTAACCAAATGAAACTATCATTGTCAGAGGTAGAAAATGCGTTTGTTCGAGATAAATAATCAAAATTTATTAGCAACAATGTACTTTACATACAAATTTGCAACAAAAAATAATATTTTGGTACATCCCTTCCTGCTGTCAAAAAGCAATGTATGTACTGGACAGCAGGAATTTTTGGAGAACATAAAAGAATATATCTGTACAAAACCATAATGAAAAACAAACAAATAAACAAACATAATACGGAATAAACGTGTAGCATGAAAATCCAAACAAACAACCAGATTAAATCTTGGCTTTGAAATATCGTAACTAAAATTTAAAATTTGTATGTGTATGTATGTATTTCAAATTTTAAAATAAGTGGATATGGAATTATTGATGAAAATAGGAACATCCCATGTATGCGACTATTTTTAGAAAATAGTGCTAAAGACTAGTACAGCTGTTTGAAAAAAAGCTGAGTTCAGAAAATTGGAACAGATGGTCAAATTCATTTTTAAAAATCTGTGTTGACCAAATGTTGGCCAAATATTCGTTATGTTTGTTATTATAAATATGTTACTGGCTGTGGGTTGCTATTAGAATACGCATTTCGTAAAGAAAGATTACTGTTAGAATGTGAGAAAAACAAGATAGAAGTATCCATAATTGCTCATATTTTAGCTAGTGTTCGCATTTATATACAAAATAAAGGAGACAAAGAAGTTGGAACTACTGAAAAAAACCGTGCTTTATTTATACGGCATAGGAAAAACAAAACCGTTACCATTCACCAGATGTTTGCAGAAATAAATGCCGTTACGAGAGAAAATATCGGTGAATTTCACAGAAAAAGATGAAAACACAACTGATACTGAAATTGATAATTCAAAAACTAAGCAAATCGGCGGGTGAATCTTATTAGCGATTGCCATAAACGTTGTTCTTGATTAAAACATAATGTGCGAGGAGTTTATGATAGTGGGTCAAACATTACACTAAAAAATCAGAAGATATTTGGTTCATTGAAGACAAAACTAATAAACATTCGCAATATTTTCTGTACAATTAATGGTGTGGATTTGACTCAACGCCGAGCAAGACTTTCTATGAAAGTAAATAAAATCGATAAAACTTTAGATGCACAAAAACAAATATTTCTTATAACCTACGTCTGGTATTGGATGCAATAAAAAAGTTCAAATTGATTCAAGATGAAAATTTAAGAATCTTGCAGAAGATATAAGGTAAAAATGAAGAACTGAACTGATGAACTATCATTTCCAAAGAAAACAAATCTTTTTTAAACTCTATTATAGATTCAAAAAATCTAGATTATCTTGATGCTGAGAAGATAAATAATATAACCCATTTTATAAATAAATATAAATTGGTATTTTCAAAAAGTAAATACGATGTTGGAAAGTAAAACACATAGAAGCTGAAATTAAATTTTCGGAAGATACATACATCATTAAAAATCCCTATAGGAAATCTACTCCAGTCGGTATAGAATAATGAGGAATAATAAGGAAATAGAATCTCAGATTACAAAATTATTAGAATCAGGTTTAATCGAGAATTCTAATTCCCCTTTTGCATCCTCAGTCACACTCGCATAGAAGCATGAAGAAAATGAAAGACTAGTCTCTGCATTGATTTTCGTGAATTGAATAAAATGGTGGTACCTGAACCTCAACCATTCCCTAGAATAGAGGACATCACGGTCAAAGGTGGGAACTGGTTCGCAGTTAGATATAAACTCGGCTTTTTGGTCAATTCGAGAGTCAACTGCTTTTGTAGCAAGAAGCCAGAAGGGCACTGGCGATGGACACGTCTTCCGTTTGGTTTGAAAATATCACCTGCTATTTTCCAGCGAAATTTAGCAAATTTATTACGAAAATATAACCTTATAATTGATTTTTCTATTTGCTATATAGATGATATTTTAATTTGTTCAAAAACATTTGAAGAACAATTAAACCATATAGATTTTTTACTTCATGCTATCCAAGAAGAGGGTTTCAAAGTAAAATGAGAGAAATGTAGCTTTGCAAAGAACTCTGTAAAATATTTAGGCCATGTATGAAAAAAAATTAAATCAGCCCATTCAATGATAATCCCAAAGCTAATGCAAAATTTCCTACGCCGAAAACAAAAAAGAATGTACGCCAGTTCTTAAGAAAAATTAATTTCTGCTACAAATATTTCGAAAATTCTGTGCTATTGTATATTGGACCCATTACATAATTTATTAAGGAAAATACTAGTTTCTTTCGATTGGTCAGATTCTTGTGAGAAAACATTCCAGACTTTAAAAATATTTATGTTCTACTGCTATATTAGGAATGTATGCTTTATGAAATACACTGATGCTAGTGGTGAAGGATTTGGAGCTGTATTAAAATAGCCAAAAGATAATAATCAACTTCATCCGATAGCTTACTTTTCAAAAACACTAAATCATGCTTAAAAGAGCAATTCGTTTAGAGTGTTTAGACAATATTTGTTGATAAGAGGAGAGTTTACTGTGATTCAGTCTAGAATCACTAGAAAACCTTAAATTTAAAGCTATAGCAGATGAAGAATTAGGAAAACATGTGCATTATCTGCCACAGAATAACATCAAACTATTGTACCATCCAGGAAAAACTATGGAAGCTGACACCCTATCCAGTAATCCAGTTCTTGAGACCTTTGAAAACAGTGAAGATGTACTACAATTTTTAAATTTTATACCAACGCAAGGAATTTGAGCTGACCAACAAGAACATAAAGATGAGATACTGCAAGACAGCATATTGCAGACAGAAAAGAAAGGAGAAATATTTTTCAAAAACCTTCACGGTAATCCTTTTCTTTGTTTCTTTAGTTCGTTCATGCTTCGTTAGAATTGTTCTTTCTCAGACGTTCGGCCAAAAGTTAATTGAGAAAATTCATAGGCTATTAGGACATATTGGGACTCAACTCACATTATTAAGACTATATTACTACTTTTTAAATATGGATAAATTGGTAACAAATTACTGCAATTCATGCTAAATATGTATGGAAAATAAATGAAGAACAATCCGTCCAATCGGGTTGCTTTCCCATTTGGGTCCGCCAACACAATACGAAATTGTCAATAGACACAGTTCCTCGAAACGATACCTCCATATATTGGCTGACCACTTCTTCGCACTATTCGCGTTTTTATACTGCTGCTTTGTTACTTTTGGAGTTTTAGACTGAAATGGAACCTATTATATGTTCATCTTAGAACACTATTACATGATGTGGAATGTAGTCAAATAGTCCTTTTTTTGTTTTTATTTGTCTTTCTACTTTTATGTGTTCGTGAATGCATACTGGCTCGTCATCGTCAATTCAACAAACCAGAACAATTCTAAGATATGTATTGATTTTCTCTTCGACCCCTTGGCGTCCAAGGGGACAAACCGTTGGGTATGGCCTTACGACGGTAAACTGGGATCGTTAATCCAAATAATGCAGAATGCTACCCAAGGGGCGAAACGGTGAGGGGTTTGCAAACGGAACGGACGTGTTTTCCGATGCATGAAACGTACACGCAATTATCGCGGCGATTCGTGTACCATTATCCCATGTGACAGCCGGCCGGGCGGTATCCCTCTAATAATAGATCCATTACAACCCCTCTACGGGGATTAGGGGGTTAAAATGAAACCCATCCTCCCCCTTTTGTCTAATTGCGTTAAAAATTCCGGCTTACTTTGAGTGTGGGGCGAGGAGATTAAACGGCCCCGTTCTCCTCCGGTTTACATTTCGATGGTTCCTAAACAACTCACTGAATAAAGATTTTTTTTTATAACTGGGTTTTGTATTAATTCGTCGCATCATTTGCAAACGTTTGTCATTTAGGTGCCAGCAAAAAAGTTTTAAAAAGGAGCAAACGGAAATGTCAAGAAAGCCATCACAAACGTTATTTCTACAATGTATAGAAAAAATTTTATGTGTTACTCCTTATCACGAAAACCAATTGAATAACCAACAATTTTATGCCTAATGCTAACCATAAACATTAGATTATTATCTTACGTAACTACCATTTAACAGTGAACACCAAAATTTCTTGTCGTAGAAGTGTGTATGTGTTTGTTTGTACGTGTTTTAGAAGATCAAATTCTACATACTCTGCGTACACACAGCTTTATTATTGCTGTCGTAAAGGCAAAGCTTTGGTGATTTAATTATTTACTATATTAATGGAACTACAAATATAAGCATATAAAAGCAATTTATTTTACCATATGATTTTATATTCTGAGATATCTTCCTAATATCTGCCGAATTATGTACCCTTAGTTTGGTCGT